TTTAAACATTTTCTTTTGACATCACTTCCTGTTATTTCACATGCAAATATCTCAACAATTGTCCATCTGAATGAGAAATTTGTTTTGTAATATATTTATAATGTTGTCTTTCCAAAAATGCATTCATATTTCTTACAAACATTTTGCATCACAGGTATTTTAAGGTTTCATCTACAGCAAGCTGGGGATGAGAACCCACATATTACAGGATTTTCAGGAATTAAATTAAGTTTAAAACTGACTGCTAAGAATCTTTGTTGCTATATTTAACAAAATAGCAGTAAAACAATTGGTCTATTAGCAATATTTGAATAATTCAACCAAAAATACTTTGATTCATGAGTTTCTGCTACAGTTTTAATTTTTTTTATTTGTGTTAATTGTGAAATTGGTCTTAAGTTTGATTTCACTTGGCATTAAAATGAATTAAAAAGTCAACTTTAATTAGCCTTAAACTGTAGGAACCCTGGTTTTTACTTGTTTGGTTTGTATTTTTAGGATTGCTTTGACAGAAGTTTTAGAAAAACTTTTTTTTTCTTGTTAATCCTAAACTTGAATCACATTGACTTTTAAAAAGTTTCAAATTTAACTGAAACTCGCAGAAACCCTGGTTTTAACGTTTTTTATGATTCATAACTGGATTTTATTTAGTCTTGCAAAAATCTTGAGTCGGACGGAGAAGAACTGCGTTCGTGTCTCATTTCAGAAGTTAGTTTTTGTTGGTTGTAAGTTCCTGCAGCTGTTGTGTGGTGGTCCTGCTCAGCTCCATGTTAATCAAAGTTTTATTTTTTTTTCCAGCACACATCTGGAGATGACAAACACAGTGAGGTGTCCCGCTCCGTCCGCTCTGCTCGCTGTAAAAACTCGTCGGCGGCCGCCGGAGACGACTCCCCCCACGTGGGGAACTACCGGCTGCTGAAAACCATCGGGAAGGGCAACTTCGCCAAAGTGAAGCTGGCTCGGCACATCCCGACGGGACGAGAGGTGAGACCAGACAGAGGGGGCTGCTGGGAAACGTTGCTGACACCTGCGTGCACTGATCTGCTTGTGTCTCTGCCAGGTGGCCATCAAGATCATTGATAAGACCCAGCTGAACCCCACCAGCCTGCAGAAGGTGAGGCGGCGCTGTCGGTCCTGACACGATCAGAGGTAGAGCTGAGTGTTRGCATCAGAGTAACGTCCTGCTGTGTTTTGGTGTCTCAGCTCTTCAGAGAGGTGCGAATCATGAAGATCCTGAATCACCCAAACATCGGTGAGTTCTGCTGACCTCAGAGCCGCTGCGAGTCCAGCTGCAGAAATCCTGCTGACGTTCAGCCCTCAGTTCCTCATTTCAGACAGATTCACTCAGCAGATCCTGTTTGGACGTGAAACAGAAAAAAAACTGTTTTTGTCCTAATCCTGCTCAGTCTGGTGTCGTGTTTTAAAGGGATTCAGGATTAGTTGTAACATTAGACTTTATTTAATAAACATATATTTTAACTGTAAAATAATACTGTAGGCTGTTTAGTTTTTATAATTTTTAAACTAAAAGTTTAAAAATGTATTACACGGACGGAGCCATTTTATTTACACACAAAGCATTCTGGGTAAATGATGACGTGGATAGGTCCTCGGTGCGAGGCTGCTAGCGAGCTATATCC